TTAGAAACCCTATGGGGTCACTGTGAGTCAGAATCCACTCGACGGCAGTGGGTTTGGTTTTTTGTTTTTGGTTTGGTCTTAGGGTTAAGAGACTAAGTCATCTTTTCTCTGTCCCCCACCTGCAGTGTCCTTCTTGTCGCCACTGGTTTGTCAGTCCCCAACCAGGTTGACTTCCCTGGCTCCGAATACGTGGAGGGCTATGAGTCGGTGTCCACTGACCCTGAGGACTTTGAGGGTCAGAACGTGCTGATCCTGGGCCGTGGGAACTCAGCCTTTGAGACGGCAGAGAACATCTTGGGCGTCACCAACTTCATCCACATGCTGAGCCGCTCCCGGGTCCGGCTCTCCTGGGCCACCCACTACGTTGGAGACCTTAGGTATGCTACATGCCTGCTTCCTGTTCTCTACTTGTTATTGTTGTTAGCTGCTGTCAAGTCAGCCCCAAACTCGTGGCAACCCCATGCACAATGGAAGAAAACACTGCCCAGTCCTGTGCCGTCCCCATGATCTGTTGCAGATCGGGCCGTTGTGATCCATCGGGCTTTCATTGGCTGATTTTCAGAAGTAGGTCACCAGGCCTAGTCCATCTTGGTCTGCAAGCTCCACTGAAACCTGTTCAGCATCATAGCAGCATGCAGTCCTCCACTGACAGATGGGTGGTGGCAGTGCATGAGGTGCATTGGCCAGGAATTAAACCTGGGTCTCCCACGTGGAAGGCGAGAATTCTACCAGTAAACCACCACTGCCCTCTACTTCTGTACTATGAGCCCAAAACATGGGGAGAACCTCCTCTCAAAGCCTTTTCCGAGCCCAGCTGGATTACCCACTCCTTCCTCCAAGTCTCCTGTGTCCCGTCCATACCTCTTTCATGGCACGTTCACATGTCTCTCTCCCTCTGGGTGGGTGGGCTCCCGAAGGACAGAAACTGTGTCTTATCCATCTTTGAATGCCCAGCACTCCGCACCTTGCTAGGTACAAAGGAGGGGCTCATTAAATGTTGAAAAATCAAAAGATAAGCAGGTAGGTAAGTAGATAGGTAGGTTGGCAGGAAAGAAGGAAGGAAGGAAGTCCCCGGTTTAAAAATAAAACTTCTCTTGGCTAGTAAGCTTTTAAGATTCTAACTGACCAAGTCAGTTAGTCATCAGTCACAAAACAACTATTTCTCACCTACTGTATATGTCAGGCATAATTGTTGTTGTTGTTGTTAGGTGCTGTTGAGTTGGCGCCAATTCGTAGAGACCTTACGTGGAACGAAGCATTGCCCGGCTCTGTGCCATCCTTACGATCGTTGCTATGTTTTAGCCCATTGTTGTAGCCACTGTGTCAATCCATAGGCATAATTAGGGTATTGGGCATACAGCAATAATAATAATAACAATACAGTGTTAAATAATTGCAAGTATGATAGGTACTATAAAGGAGAAGTGCAAGATATTATAGGGGTGCAAAAG